CAGCCTTGCCGGCGGCTTGAAGGTTCACTACCTCTTGCAACAAGGCCGAGTTGATGTCGAGGAGGGCGGTGACGCGGGCCTTCTCACGCGCCGCAAACTGGGCTTGGGCTTGGGCCTGAGCTTGGTTTGGAGCCGCAGGTGAGGCACCGGTTTGGGGCGAATTTATTTGCGAAGTGGGTTTGGGCTGCGTGCCGAGTAGATTGTTCGCTGATATGGAAGCCATGTTTTGAGAGAAGGTCTGCGCTACTTGAGATGGCATGTTTGTGCCGGATGTGCCTTGAGGGGGGACAAACTGGCCCATGGGGGTAGGAACGGGAGCTTGGGTGTAGGGCGCCGAGAAATTATCCATAGGTGCTGCTATTATGATTAAGCATATGGTCAGTTCAAGGTATTCCAGCAAAATAAAGCGAGCTGGATGGCAGGAAACAGGGAACAGTGGACAAATGGCCAAAGCCAGACAGTGCCAAGGGTCAATGTAGCGGCAAGGATAATTTCATCCAAGCCGCAGGGTCTTAGGGACGGGTAACACGAGCACGAGAGGGGAGGCTTGAGTGAAAATAATTCAATCCGATCTTGGGCCTCATGAAACCCATTCCCTTTCACCCAAGAATTTGAGTAACAATTCTACCCCGCTGGGGTAAAACAGACAGGTGCCCCGTGCCAACCATAACAAAAGAAAGGGGAAGGGGCAACGAACCGGAAGATTGTTGGGGAAACCCTGAAGGCATCATAGCTCCACCAGGACCAGGCTGCATGGGCATGCCACCAAAATGTTGAGCGGATGGTGTCTTTGATTGGGGGTATGGGGGAACAGCGTTAGGGTAAAAAGGCATCTGTTGGTTTTGGGGGCTCTGTGTCGGGACGGGATAGCCTGCGGGATAACCAGTATTGGGGTCCATCGTGTAATGAGGGACCATCACGGTTGAAGGGTGGCTCCAAGGATTTTTTTCGCCCTGTAATACTTCTCCTCCTCAGCGATCCCCTCGATTTAGGGAAGTTACTGTGGCTGAATTACGCAGGCCGCACGGACGAGACGGTGAAGGCCCAACAGCGCTTGTTGGCCGGGAATCCAGGGATGGACGGGGTGAGATTTGGCGTGACGCCAAAGCTGCTAGAAACAAAAAAGACAGGGGTGATTGGCTCAGTCAAAAGGCAGGGATGTATTCAGAACCCGGTCTTCACAGTGAACTGGGACTCGGGGCAAGACAAATTTTGGTGTCCAGATTCAGAGCGATCAGCCGTGGGCGGGCTAATGCAGCGGAGCCCTTTTGGAATGGTGGAGACACAAGCTCGGAATGAAGTTGGAATGATAATGGCAATGTCTCAAGTTGACTTGAAACTTGACTTTGTGATTCAGATTAAGAGTGTACTTGATGTTTACCAGAGAGAGTGTGTAACTGGCGTTCACAATGAAAGTGACATTTGAGAGTCACGGGGTTCGATCTGTAATGGCCTCAGGCAACATATATTGATGCCTGAAATATTTGGATCCAAACCATTGTTAATTTCGATTTCCAACTTCCTTTTTGAGAGTAGTCAGTCGGCTTATGATGCTTTTATCTTTGTATGGAGTTAGACCATTCTTAATTTCGGGTTTAACTTCCTCTTTGAGAGTAGTCGGCTTATGATGCTTCTATCTTTGAAGACATCGGAGTTGAATAGTCTCGGTGTACTCCGTACGAAGTATTTAGATTGCCTCGAGATGATATTAGAGATGGTATATGAAAGATAGTACTAACTAGCTAGTTTTATATCTTCTTGTTCTTTCCCTTCCTGACTAGATGTTTCTGACTAGATGTGTGAGGATTTGGCATGGATAAATTATTGAATACTCAAGGGAAACATGACAAAAAGATATACAATATAAAAACAATTGTTCAAGTATAACCTGTCAAAACTGACACATAAGCTTCTACCTATGTTCCACCTATGCTAGCTTCGACAGACTGCTTCCTACCCTAGCCCATTCTTCTAGCTCGACGTTGAGTGTCTCATTACCCCACGTACGGAACTTCTTACCGCCATATCGTTTATCACCTCAAATTGAGCTTTAGTTACCCTTCCTATCATAGGACTTCCCCTTCGTTCTAGACCGACGGCTCACATATTTGGCCCGGGTACCGGGAAGAACACGGCGGACTTACGCTAGCCGAGTCCGAAGTAAGGATGAAGAAGGGAGCGTACTAAAATGTCCTTTCCAAAACAAGTTTACTACTCCGTACTTATTTGTTCGTATAGCAAAACAAGTTTACAACTCCGTGCTTATTTGTACGTATATGTATTTGCCAGCAATTGCTTGGCATGTAACATAGGGATCAGCACTCACGGTCCTCTTGAATCATGGATAATTGGATGAGAAGAGATTATTGACAAAGCATCTAGACCTGACGTGTCAGGGACTACCAAATGACACATCGAGTAATATATTTCTCGACGATCATCTGAACTTTGTTTATAGTCAATCGGTGTCACAAAGGCATGTGATACCGTTCAGCGCGTAAGAGCTGCAGGGGGCAAAGAAGAAGAAAAACATTCCTGGAATCGGGTGTGCACGAAACCCAGCTTGTACGAATTTCAAGTTGTGCTGAGAATAATTGGATAAGTACTCCGTACTCCGTATACATATACGCACGGTTCGTGCATGCATAGTCTGCACGAACATGTAACACGCTCAATGGAGGATTGTGGACCACGGTGTAGCGTCACGACGCCACAACTAGGTCCCGATTACCAGGAAATGCAAGTCGGATATGCGTGTTTCATGCGAATAGGGAAATGGGGCTGTGCAATGGCGTGGATTGACAGCCCTTTAGCTCGATCTTTTGAGAGTATCTAGTCCAATGGATGCACCGGAGTCGTTTACCCAACAGATAAGTCCAAACTCTAAACTCAATCTCTTTCCCGCCGATTTACCATGGACAACCTTTATCGTTTAGATCCTGTCCGTGTGGCTGAGCCTATGATTTCATCCACTCGGAGTTCTCAGCTGGCTGTTCTCCGATACTGCATATCCACGTCAGTGGCTGAGTGGCTGAGATTAACACAAAAATGTACTTTGTTCCGGAAAAGTCTCTGCTATTCTATCGAAATTACTCCCCACAAGGGGACAGATGGGAATTGAGCTTATCGGTGCTTTTATAAATTGGTCCCACTAAGATTTGAATAATTCCATATTAGGCATATACGCTGTAGATGAGATCCATACTAGTCCATATTAGTATCCGTATGGGAAATACCTAAACACACGGTGGCAAATTGAACCGTGGCTCATTACATATTTTGCATTCTTCAATTTGCCAATCCAAGAAGCCCTAAGTGTCGATCCATTAAGGACCTCGGCCGTGAAGTTGAGGCTTTTGTGAGGCGGGTCCGAACAAATCCCGCTCGGCCGGTGAATCGGGATGTGTTTTCGGCGTTCGATTAATAAACTTCGTATTCACTAGCCACTGGTGACGACATAGCGCATGGTTAAACAAAGCTTTATATGGTATTATGTGCTTGGGCTGAGAGAGATATACAATGCATTTCTAATATTGTAGTATGTAAATTGCGCCCGTATCGTAAACGGGGTGTGACCCAGCACTTTGGGCATTCTCAATCATTCTGTGTTTTAGACCGTGAGCATAAGCAAGGGGATGTATACAAAGGTACAATTTCGGAACATTGGGCGTAAGGCAACGGTAGTCCGCCTCAAAACGTCTGTCGATCACTATTTCATTTTCAAATGTCCAATGTTGGTCTAGAATATGAAAGTTTTTTTTGATCATGTAGCTTGTACCAAAAGTAGTGGATGCTTTTTCCAATTCTCCTGCTATTGGTTTACCGAATACATCACGTCTCACAAGCCCCTTAGGGCTGATTATTACTCTCATACAGCAACACGGTCTTGTGGATTTGTTATCGTGCGGCTAGGGTATGGTTGATTTAACAGACGTTTAGCCGGAGTACATGTTCCAAGGGGTATGTTTGAGTGGATATCTGACAAGTTTGGAGTGGAAATGACCAGTTAGCTATACAAATATCGAAATAACCGTTGATAGACGATCAAATCCAAATATAGCCTGCTAACTGTCAAGGAATAGATGTTATTCGGGGAATTCTCTTCTGCGGCTATACACCGAGATTGTGATAGGGTAATGCATGTACTCCGTAAATCAGGAAAAGAATTCCGCAGATCAGCACCGTCTGTTTCGATACTGTATCGGTTTTTGGCCCTTTGTAGATCCATCCTTTCCTAGTCTCCACAGGGGGTTTGTCTGAAGTTGGATCCCTCCACTTTTGGCGCGCTATAGTTAGGTACATAGAGTAGTGCGCCGGAGCCGAAAAGGCCCAGCTGTTTATAAATTCATAGCACTTTTTATTCGTTATTCACTGATCGACACAAGCTGGCGATTGATATTGTGTGTGACCATACTTGCAGCATAATCTTCGCTTTGCCTCCCAACTTTCTTATATATATAGAATCCCCCCACTTCTCTTGCTCCTCTTTCTGACTCGGAGGTAAGCTTGACAGCTTTACCAACCGTACAAAATCCGGGGTCAGCCTTTGGGTCCATGCTTTAGGGTGATTACATCCTTTTCATTGGTCAACGACAGAGCTGACCCTAGTCAGGCCCTTGGAAAAGATGTCAAGACAACCACCAGAGGAACATGAATATGTCCACTTTGCTATGATATATATAGATAGGGATGGGAATCTTTGCAAAAGGGCCTCCGAGTCCATTTCAGAGAGCCGTGAGAACATTCTCTCCCCTAGGGTCACCAGTGAATTCCTCAGAGCAGTGGCCATGTCGAGAGAAGGCCACGCACAATCTCAAGGTAAGGTTTTCTATCTTCACCCCACCTGAAGTGTCTTACTGACTTGGAAAGTCTCTTCCGAGGTCCAATTGTCGTCTAGCGGGGCTCCGTCGCAGGAGTCCGTGTCATATAGTGGAATGGGCTTGGGTAGTCAACAGAGAATGTCAGTTCTAGGTCAACCAGGTTCCCCATCCCGGCCGACAATGTGGCCGTCAGGCGAGCCCTGGCCTCTACAATCTAGTTCACAACCCAAGAAGAGGAATTTTGGAGGTCGGAGTCTTAATTTGGCTGCACAGCAAAAAACAACGATCTCTGTAAAAGAAAGGGGTCTTTTGCGTCTCTATTATGAGAAAATTTTTCAAAATCTGCAACAAACGAACTGCCGAATTATCGCCAAAGCCTACATCAAATTAGTTGAACCGCGCAAGCAAGTCAACTACCCATACAATGGACGGAAGATTGTGGATGGGAGGACTCAACAGCTTGATCCGGAGGCAACTAAACCACCGTGGTGGCCACGTGGAGTGAGCCATAGAGAACCAGATCATCTTCCAAAAGTTGGTAAGAAAAGAACTCCTCTGAATACCTGTGTCGTCCTAGCTGACAATAATTAGAACGCATTCGACTTTTGGTATACATCCTCTGCGAGATGCGCAAAACCCACGGAATCACAACCGCCAGATTAAAACAATGCGATCAGCCCATTCGTCGTCAAATCCTCCCGGTCGAACGTTTACAAATCTTGGACGAGGCATATCGAGTTCGCGAGGAGGAGGAAAGATTCCTAGATGGGCTTTCAGGTACATACTTACTCACCTCATCTTCTAAACCCAAGGCTCACATTCATCAGACGGAAAAAACGTCTGCATATCTCGCACCAATCTCCCTCAAATAGCAGAAGACTCATCCAGCGGACAAAGCTCGCCAACCGAACCAGCCCCTTCCCATAATACCGTCGACGCCGAATGCAGCGACGGAATATCCCACATCGATATAACCCAAGTCACCTCCGGAGACCTGTCAAGTGCCTCATCTTACAATTCTTCCAACCCCTATAACCAAACAATGCACTTGGGTCCAAACATGCAATACCAGTCCGTCGGCCATACAACCGTGTCAACATCACCATTGGAACTGAGGCCAAAGCATGAACCACTATCTGCCGGGGCACATTTGATTGATCGGACTCGTCCAATCACCCCGGCGCACTATCAATACCCCGGCGTTTCGGGCATTCAACCTACACCGATGGAGTTCTATGGCACGCATGATTTGTCCCAGGATCCAAATGTTCCGATCACTCAGACTTCGACAGGGAGCTTGCCAACAGAGCCAATGATGCCGTACGGACACCCCTACTATTTCAACTACTGAGAATCTAAGTATATAATGTCTTTTTTACGATAATGAATTTTGTTCGGATTGCACATGAAGATAGCTCTTGTAAACGAGCCCGAGTTTGTGAATCTAGAGATAGATACAAAGGTGGATAAACACATGCCTATCTGTCTTCGACACTATAAATTATTGTCTTAGACCTACAGGCACTGCGAGTACCAGTCATTGACATATTTACAGGTTCCACTGGCGCAAGTCTTGGCTCCAGTCCAGTCCTTACCACCACACTGACCATAGAGAGGAGCTCCAGTAGCACCACCACCACTGGAAGTAGTAGTGGTAGTAACCAGAGTAGTGGTGGTGGAAGTGCCAGGAGTCGAACCACCCAGAGCAGCCATGATACCCGCGTAGGCGGGCTTCTTGACCAATTTCGCATCCCAAGGCAATGCATCACCCTCACCAGGGAATGTGCTAGGAACCCAAGAGTACTTGTCAGTGTAATCCCAAATAGTAACGCCAACACATTTGTCATTTGCCATGCAGGCCGCAACGGAATTTTGGTAATCGGAGGACTGCTTGGCAAGCAGGGCAGCAGTTGATGGCAGAGTCATACGAATATCAAGTTCGGTATAGGCGACTTCGACTCCCAGGGATGTGAACGCGGCCAAGTTGGTAGTCTGCGCGCTCTGGCTAGGGGTACTTCCGACGATGAAGTGTGCCTGGAGACCGACACCGTCGATCTTGGCTCCGTACTGCTGCACGAGCTTGACGATTCTTTGGGCGCCGGATGACTTCGCACCGGGTGATTCGATGTTGTAGTCGTTGTAGTAGAGCTTGGCAGTTGGGTCTGCTTCGGCTGCGGCTGCGAATGCGATGGGGAGGTATGCTTCGCCGATGTGCTTGAGGAAGACACTGTCGCGATAGGTGCCGTCCTCGTTAAGAGCTAGATATTTATTAGCTATTTGATAATAGTATCATTTCCAAGTTTGTTCACCTTCGTTAACGACATCCCAAGCATAACATTTCCCCTTGTAGTGGGTCATCACGTTGGAGATGTGGTTCTTCATGGCGGCAATCAGAGTTGCGTTGGTCCAGGTGCCGCTTGAGACTATTTACCAATTAGATCATTATTCATGCATTGTAAAAGATATGAGATAACAGGACTTACCCCAGCTGGGCAATTGGCTATGCCAAACCAAAGTGTGGCATCGCAGCTTTTGGCCGTTTTTAGCAGCAAGGTCGGCAATGACATCGCCTTTGGCATATGAGAAGGAGTTTGGAGAGGGCTCAATTGACTCCCACTAGTGATCGTTAGCGAAGGCTTCGAATAGCAGGGTAGTACCTGTCTAACCTTCTGCGCATTGCCAGGAGTAATTTGACCGAAGTCCTCTTTGTTGCTCAATTGGGCAAGGTATGGAGCATCAGTCAACTCGCCGTTATCAGTGGCTGATCCAAAGTATAGCTTTCCCTTTGCGACAGCAGCAGCATTCAAGCCAGCCCCTTGGGTCCTATAGAAAAGAAATGAGCATCAATCACTGGTAAACTATAGGAGTTGGAAGATAAACCATACAGTTGAGGAAGAACACTGGCCAATGCCAGGGCGATAGTGGTGAAGTGAACCATGACGAGATAGTTCAATGTCGATAATTGAATTGATCAAATTCTAGTCCTGGAATGCGGAGTTGAACGGGTCAAGCTCCTTTTATAGTTGAAACAGCGACAGGTAAATTGCCAGGATCATGGTCATCTACCCCAGCCCTCGGTAATTTCCACATTGCCGGGCCTATAGCCCGTGGCATAGTTGTCGCGGCCTTTGAAAATAGTCCAATGGGCTTGGTATGTAGTGAGATGCCTAAGAGTATGAGTTGTTGCATGGAATTCATCACTTTAGCCAGAGAAATAGACACGGGGTCCGGCGCCACACGGTAAACGGGAGTAGAGAAACGAATAGGAAGACAGCGGAGGAAATTCCGTACTTCACGGGAAAAAGAGGCGTTTCCCATTCTGAGAAAGGTCAAGCTGAAGAAAAGGGCTAAAAGGAGTGTCCGGGTAAATACGTTCTTCTCCACCTCCACAAAAATCCGGGGAATCTTCACTGTCAACTACTTTTCCCCCTTCAATTTTTCTGGAAAATTATGGCTAAGCCTTGGAAATCATAAGATTGCCGAGATTTAGCTCGATCATTCAGGCCCCAGGGATGATCATGTTTCCAATGATGATCATTCAGGCTAGATTCAGGCTAGACAGTTGCACATCCCCCTCTTTTTGGGATGATTGAACCTACATTAGCGCTGAGCACATACCATACAATCGTGCAATGTATGTCAAACACGATTTAGTCCCGACCCGACTCGGCTCAATTGGTCCTTGCGAAGTGCCGCGAACGCGTTTTGAAACTCCGGGGAAAGTATCGAATCGCCCCCTAGTTGATTTCCCGGCAAGAAACACAAGCTCCGCTGTGATTTGCTGCAGGAAAGATGAATACTGGGAATATCCATCTTCAGCTACGGAGTACACTTGTAGGGTCTACTGCACCTGTGAGCTTGGCACTCCGGTTATTGCCCCTGAACCGGCTTCATCCGATATGTCAGAGTAGAACATGAGACGCTAGAAACAGGAAACAGTATTTTGAGAGAGAAGAAGACAAATCCCCAATTTTCAGCTTTCGTGGCTTTCCCCATAATATTCTGCACACCAATATGCCCGGAGACATTTAGTACTTACCGTCAATATACGATGCATTTTGAGATCCCCATCGCGCCGTCAAGTTCATTAAAATAGTAGTTATCAATCTTAGCCAATACTGGAGGATTTTCACTTGACCTTAGATACATTGGATTATGGTCAATGGCCCACTGGGACGTTTTGCTTCTAGAGGCGGAAACGCCTCGATGATATCTATAAGAATCTGAAAATGAATCTATGTACAAAAGGCTGGCGCTTTTAAGGGGTATCAGATTTTATAACGTCATGTTGCTCCGTGGTAGGACCAGACGGAAGTGTGGTTAGGTACCACCATTGCAGCCAAATCCAGACCAGCAGGTCGAAGGGGGGACAGCACTCCATGGAAGTGATGATTTTGTGGACGCAAATTCCAAATTCACGGGTTCGGTCGAAAAGTTAAGCGGCTTCATAGTAATGAGATACCACTCAGCTACTCTTCCGAGCCTTCATCTCCGCAATGTATTTACCAGTCTTGGAGAGAGGTACGACGTGGATGGTAACAATCTCATCCACAACCTCAACCTTACCACCGGAGAGAATTTCCAATAAAGGCAGCTTCTTGCCAGCCTTGATCAAACCACCAGTGACAGTTTGCATGAAACATTCAACACCTTCAAGAGTGTATTCTTTCTTGGTATCCCAAGGAAGGGGGAAGATGTAACTTAGATGGTCCTCAATGGCGTTCATCTCCGAGAACGCCTTGATAAAGTCTGACTGGGCATCCATAGGGTAGAGGAAAACGACCGGGAACTCGATTGTGCTCTCTGGTGAGAGAGGATCAGGAACGAGACGAATCCTGGCATCTTCCATATCAGGAGGCTGATCGGTTTTGCGGGTTCTAATCATACGCGCGCGCAGAGCTGTGCTGAGCATCATATTCTTCTTGCGCGCCGTTTCTTCTTCGGCTCTCTTTCTTGCTGCAGCACGCTCCAAAAGGGCCTTGCGCTCGGCAATCTTTTTGGCGGATTCTAGGAGAGCCTTGCTTGCTGGGTCGATTGCCAATCCTCGGGCTGCAGAATCCTCAGCCTCGGCGATTTTATCCAACTTGAAGAGTGCCAAGGAGGAGCGATAGAAGGCTTTCACGTTTTTGGGGTTGAATTTGAGGGCTGCAGCACAATCGAGAGTGCAGGAACGGTAGTTTCCTGGGGTAGAAATGTATTAGTCAATGTTCCCAGACATGCAGGAATATAATACATACCTAGTTCCAAGTTGCACAATGCCCGGTTGATGTAACACGCCTCCTCCAACTTGCGCAACAGCGTGGCCTCTTCCACGGGATCTTCGGGAGCCTCCCACTTATCAACCTTGGCGGTAATGACGGCAATAGCCTTAGTGTAGAATTCTTTGGCGTCAATCCACTTCAGTTCCTGCACGGCTTCATTGCCTTGTCCCTTGAAGCTACTCGCAACCTCGCCCCTGGTACCTTCGTTCTGCAAAGCCTGGAGAGCATCTAGAAGCACGTTTTCACCCTCTGTAAGACCATATATGTCAGCCAAATCGAACAACCATGTCTAAAAAAGAATCCAACGTACTTTCGTCACCCGCGTTCTCAATATCGGTCATGAACAGAGGAGTCTTGTTCATCATTGATATCAACTCCTCAGAAGAATGCGACTGGACGGCCGCAATAGCCGGTGGAAGTGCAGGTGCATTGGGATCGGTTTGGCGCTTCTTCAGTCCCTCCTCGTTGATCGGGAAGGGAATTTCGTTTGTAGGAGCGAAGAAGTCAAACCCAGGTTGGGAGACCTCAGGAGGAGCATTGTTGAGGTTGAGCGCCTCATCAAAGTCATCTGGAAGCTCTTCAACGCGCGACATCTTGAGGGTTGGTCACAGGAAAATGTATTGCGCTTTCGGAGATTTGGAGATCCTGATGCTTAGAAATGATGCCCGCAGTGCAAACGGTGCAAACAGGAGGGGATCTGATCGGCCCTAAGCCCTATTACCGGATTAGTCTGGCTGGAAATAGCCCTGGAAACTTGAAAGGTAAGATTATTATTCGCCAAGGAAAATGAATGGATCAAAAGAAAATAGACTACTATAGGAAAGTTCCTGGGTTTGAATTCATCAAAATACATATTCCATGATGTATTGAATGTTTCTATGCTGTATCGGATATTGCATGTGGAGTCAGATTGATACCTGAGGCCCCATTTTTTGATACCCTTCTAAGGTTGGCAGTCTATCAACTTGCTGCCGTTGGACCATATTCCACTATATCTGCTTCACTATTGGCACGATTCTATCAAACATCTCCTATAACAGCAACCGAGGCATACATCACACATTTTATACCCAAGAGCTATTCACTAAGCAATGACAATACTACTTAGTAGGCCTTGCGTGCCGATACACCTCAGCCTCATGTTGTATACCACCAACATAGGCAATCCCCACAACTGACAGCTCCACAGAAATTAAACTATATAGCTCCTTAGCCCTTGAAGATCTCCGCACATCGGAGGCTATGTCATCGGCGAAAACCCGACCAAATCAAACCCCGCATCAGTCGGGTTAAAGACCGAGCTCCGATATAGGCCATATATAGTCCTACGTCCCGTATAAAGGGCATTTGATTTACCCCAAATATTCCTTTGTAACAACAAAGAACACATCACCATGGCTAAAAATTTCAACATCCTCGTCCTACCCGGCGATGGCATCGGCCCGGAAGTCATGGCCGAAGCCGTCAAGGTCCTGAAGACGTTCGAGACACCCGAGCGCAAGTTTGAACTGCGTCAGGAGTTGATTGGAGGATGTAGCATTGACGCACATGGAAAGCCTGTGACTGAAGAAGTCAAACAGGCAGCTCTGGACTCTGACGCAGTGCTTTTCGCTGCAGTTGGAGGTCCGAAATGGGATAATCAACGTCGTGGTCTTGATGGGCCTGAAGGAGGACTACTTCAACTACGCAAGGCTATGGATATCTATGCAAACCTACGTCCGTGCTCTTCTACCTCGCCGAGTGCCTCTATTGCCAAGGAGTTCAGCCCGTTCAAGCATGAAATTATTGAAGGCGTTGATTTCGTTGTTGTTCGGGAGAATTGTGGAGGTGCCTACTTTGGCCGCAAGGTCGAAGAAGAAACATACGGTGAGCTGGCTGAGAAGTAACCGTGATTGAGTACCGATCTAACTTTTTCTACTTTAGCGATGGATGAATGGGGCTACTCCGAAGCCGAGATCCAACGAGTTACCCGTCTATCCGCTGAAGTGGCACTACGACACAACCCCCCTTGGCCTGTGATCTCACTAGACAAGGCGAATGTACTAGCTTCTTCGCGGCTCTGGCGTCGGGTGGTGGACAAGACTATGGCAGCCGAGTACCCGCAAGTGAAATTGGTGCACCAACTGGCGGACTCCGCATCGTTGATTCTAGCAACGAACCCGCGATCCCTGAATGGTGTTATCCTGGCTGACAACACTTTCGGCGATATGATCTCTGACCAGGCTGGGTCTATTGTGGGTACACTCGGTGTGTTGCCGAGTGCCAGTCTCAACGGTCTGCCTGGTGATAAGACGATGAAGACACGACCTTACGGGCTGTATGAGCCTACACATGGATCTGCTCCGACGTAAGTGCTAGAGACATGATAAAAAGGCTATTCTGACTTTGTTATAGTATCGCCGGACAAAATATTGCCAACCCCGTTGCCATGATTCTTTGCGTTGCACTTATGTTCCGATACTCCTTGAGCATGGAAGACGAGGCTCGACGTGTAGAGGATGCGGTTCGTAAAGTGTTGGACTCCGGGATTCGGACACCTGACCTTGGTGGTAAGGCTGGGACCAAAGAAGTGGGCGATGCGATTGTATCTGCACTGTAGAGTATAGAAGATAAGAATATATGATTTGATGTATCACGATTGCTTCAAAGAACAAAGTGCCAAGCACATGCATCAAACTGAATGTCTCTAACCTGTAACATTGATAAAGACAGAAACGATCAAAGGCAATGTTTGATAGCTGAAAACTGGGGTTGAAAGAAATTTAGATAATACATTACATTTGAGAATTCTCCAAAGATTATAATGAGATATATTCTTAGACACTTCCGTTCTTCTTCCCTCATTCCTCTCCATGTCTGAAATCCCACCTCTCAAGCCTAGAGCTTCTACACCTTCACAGAGTCCTCCAGACGAGTCTCCAACGAGAAGCCGAGCACTCAACATGTCATCCCAAACCCCGAACATCCCATCTACGCCAGCGACGGCACTGTACCATCCAACCCGGCTACCAAACACACCAGGATCCTGTGCTCTACGTCTTGAAAACCTAGAACAACAAACCTCCGCTACGAAAAGCGAGCTGATGGCATCAATCGCGGCAGATATCTGCGCAACATTCATAAGCATCGCAAAGTACTCTGAAGATGGTACCCTCCATGCACAGCACACAGGTGTGATCGACATGGTGATCCAGACGATCCGCGACACGGACGTGAAGCAGCGGCACTTGCTTGATCGACAGGTCCGTCGGCTGCGCAAAGAGAAGAAGTGGATACGGAAGAAGTATTCGCGATTGGCTGGACAGGCGGATGGACTAGGTCGCACGTATCAGACTAAGGCGCGGAAGTTGAAGATTGCGCTGCGAGAGGCGCAGGGGGAAGTGATGCGTTTACAAAATGAGCGGGATATGTTGCAAGCTTTTCTGAAGAATAGGGGTTATGCCCTGAATGACAATGTTGATGGGAAGGGGGAGGAGGTTGATGGAGAATATGAGCTTGCGGAAGAAGATGAAACTGCGAATGACGAGGATCTTTGATTTTGTCCCAGTGTATCAGAACGTCTCTGAGATGATTCTTTGTTTCCTTTAATAGGAAACCGTTTACATATCTTCTTTGTTTGGCCCATTTTTAGGGCAAAAGAAATCTGACTTTTGTTTTAATACGACGCTTCAAATATACCTTGTAAATAATATGGTAATAATTATCGGATTTGCCTATAGATATTAGGACCATATGAGAATCTTCAAGTCGGTAATTGAGTTCCGAGGTCTGAAAATCGGCATTTGATGGCGAATGTGATTTTATAGGGATCAGGGATTATTTCAATTGATAACAAGACCAATCCCATAGGTAAAATCTAGACCATCGGAACTGAGAAATGCATCGGAAATTGTCGTAACGTTAGAATCACGTTGGAATCACAGTAAGAAAGCGCCTCCAAGTGCAACCTCGGCATCTTCAAATCGGCGCAGGCTGATTCGGCCCGCGGATCCACCAACTTCCATGTGGAAAGTCTGGGGGGTCCCTTTTTCTGTTCTGTTCTTCTGTTCTTCTGTTCTCTTCTTTTTCTCTTTCTGATCTTCAATCCTTTCGATTAAATCTCTTCCAAGGATCCATCTCGAAGCCGACGTTGAGTTTGTTCAATCTCTTCCCGAGCAATCTACCCCGGACTTGTTTTATCGGCCGAAAGCAACAATGAGCACTCGCGACTATGACGCCGTCCGCAAGGACATCGCTGATATCCTGAAGAAGCCCGGTTATGATGATGGCAGTGCAGGACCCGTATTCGTGCGGCTAGCATGGTAAGTAAATGCGATGTCTCAAAGCCTTATCGATTCCCGGTCGGGGTCCCCGGATGCAACGGCGACGATAAGCCCTTCTCAACGCAGTATCACTGACAATAATTTCACAGGCACTCGTCTGGCACATACGACGTTGAATCCGACACTGGTGGTTCGAACGGAGCCGGTATGCGGTACGAAGCCGAGGGTGGCGATCCCGCCAACGCCGGTCTGCAGCACGGACGAGCATTCCTAGAGCCGATTAAAGAGAAGCACCCCTGGATCACGTACTCGGATCTGTGGACGCTGGCCGGTGTAGTGGCCATCAAGGAGTTGGGCGGTCCCGATATCCCCTGGCAGGGCGGACGGACAGATCTGATTGACGACAGCAAGCTGCCGCCACGGGGACGGCTGCCGGATGGAGCCCAGGGCGCCGACCACCTGCGGTTCATCTTCTACCGCATGGGATTCAATGACCAGGAGATCGTAGCGCTGACCGGTGGACACAACCTGGGTCGGTGCCACGGCGACCGCAGTGGATTCGAGGGCCCGTGGGTGACTAACCCGACGCGGTTCTCAAACTCTTTCTTCAAATTGCTGCTTCAACTTGACTGGAAGCCTCGCAAGATGGCCTCGGGTATGACACAGTTTGTGTATGAGGATCCCGATGCTGAGGAGGATGAGGAGCCGTTGATGATGCTGCCGACTGATATGGCGCTCTCGACTGATCCCGCATTTGCCCCATGGGTTAAGCGGTATGCTGAGGATAAGGAGTTGTTCTTTGATCACTTCTCAAAGGTGTTTGCCAAGTTGATTGAACTTGGTATTCGCCGTGATGCCCAGGGTGCTGTGACCAATACTGATGGCACTCTCGGTGGTTATGTCTCGGCACCCAAGAAGAGCAACACTGCTACAGGTCCGCCCCGTGCGCGTCTGTAGAGTGTCATCTTTTTGTTGTTGTTTTTTTTTGCTTTTTTGGATTAATTCCCCACTGCGTTGGTAGATCTGCAGAATGCAGGATTCGGATGTGTAAATAGATCATAGATCATAGAATGTGATTAAGATAACTGTTAGTATATGAAGTTGCTTTGGAGTTATAAGGAAAATAGAAGAAGAGAAAGGGGAAATCTCTGGGGAGTCTGGGGAGTCTGGGGTAGAGCGGGGAAACGCCCTATAATGTAACGTACATTAATGTACTAAAGTACAAAATTACTAGTAGATTTATGTATTAAAGGGACTAATTATGATTATAGAAAGTAATAGTATAAAATAAATAGTATTAAATATGTACGGAGTACTCCGTCTCAGGTTATACTCGGACCTCGGGTATATCAAATAACAGCCCCCTAATTGGCCGTGATCTAGTAGTATGATATGTTGAATTATAAACAAAATATATAACTAACATAACTAAAATAACCTAGAATCAAATATCAGCTTCATCAGCTTCATCGGGTTCATCTTTACCAGGTTTCCATGTTGGATCGGTGTTTTTCTTCCTCGAATTCCTCAATCCCGCTCTTCTTGATACCTTCGGAATCGCCTCCTGTTTCTTCTTCTTCTCTTTCCGTTGCTTCTGCTTTTTATAATCTTCCTCTCTAGTCAATTTAGGATCTCCCTCTACTTTTTCACTTGCTTGCTCTTCCTGTTCTCTCTTCTGCAACTCGAGCTCCTGCTTTTTCTGCTCCTCTTTCTTTAGTTCAAGCTCTCTTTGCCTTCTGTGCTCCTCTCTTCTCTTTAGTTCGAGCTCCTTTTGTCTTATCTGCTGTTCTCTCTTCTTTACCTCGAGCTCTTCTTGAATTTTCATTTCCTCCCTCTTCTTTCGGTCGACGTCCTGTTTCTTTTGCATTATCTTCTTTTGTTCAAGTTCCTCATCTCTCTCCTCCTCTCCATCACTATATCTCTTCCTGAAGTTGAATCCATGCCTCTCTGAATTCAATGCCCGCCGCTGCGCTGGATCTAGGACCTGCTTCGAGATAGCGTAGCTGGCCAACGCGGACCTCTTGAGTCTATTACCATGCGTTCGACGGAAAGATCGGCTTCGAAGCCCTGACATAGTCTCTTCCGAATCTGACCACACAGAGCTCACACGATTGCCCAGTTCAGGTGATTGGGGGTATAGGGGCGACATAGGCAGCTCGGGGAAATCCAAAGCTCCTTCCTCATTAGGTATACCCGAAGGCCACATTTCCGGATGTTCACCGAGCCAGCGCGGACTGTGCATCATCGAATCAAATAGATGCTTTTTGGCGTCCTCATCTATTGCGTCTTGATCAGTGTTCTTGTCATGATCAATGTTCGATGGGCCCTCGATTCCTGTTTCGTCCATTAGTGAGGAAATGTCGAATTCTGGAGGTGTGGTGGTGGAGTAAATCGATGGGTCAATGAGCGATGGGTCAACCACTAATGGATCAAGCAGTGACGGGTCAATTGCAACTGGTGGCAGAGAGGGTATAGCAGGCTGTGCAGCAGGTTGTGCAGCAACTGGCTTGGGGGATGGCTTCGATGTTGCCCAGCTGGGGTTGAAATCGCTGAAGCGTTCGCCGGTGTGTGAAAGTACACGAGGCCATGGATCCGGCTGTGGTGGAGGAGTTAATTGTTCCCAAGGGATGTGTTCTTCGAGAACGTTCTTGTTTGCATTCAGACAATTGCTCATCTCAAACATCGCGTTGCTGGCCTTCGCCAAAAGGTCGGTGGTGGGATTGATGATTCGCTCATAGAAAAGGAGAGGAATAGCTCTATGGTGGGACCATTCAGGGGGCACCTTTTCTTCAGGTTTAAATCCTGGGATTCCACCGACGATAACTCCAGAGTTGACTTGGCTGTCGTACATCATAATATTTCCATTATCTTTCTCGCCTCGTTTCGTATCTGTCCAGAACAAACGAGCATGGGATTCATTGTTATAGATGCCACCAAGCCAACGATAGTGTGCGACCTGTTGCTTGTCCTCATAGTCTATGTACTTGAACCTGAGATTCTCTGTGTGATTTCGGATTCGCGTCTTGAGATCAGATGTTATCACCAAACGCAGCGGGAGTTGACCGATCTTTCGTTCTCCAGTAACTCCGTACGGATCACCACACCTATCACACTTGAAAGACTTTCGTGGGTAGAAGCATCGCTCGACCAACACTTGCAAATCTACTCCAAGTTCATCACCCAGTAGGTAGCCAGGTAGAATGCAGGACCCTTGATGGGAGTTGTAGAAAGGAGTTCCCAACTGGCATTTGCAAGGTGTCACTCGCTCGACGTGAAAATAGCGGAATTGAGCGAAGCTTCTCGTGGCCACTGACCATGGTGCCCAAGGGGGAATCATATCTCCCATTTTCATGCCGCTTGAGCCATCCATAAACAAACGGAGAAATTCGTCACGCACAAATATAGAAGTCTTATCATCGAATGTCTCCCAGCTCGCATTTGTCACTTCGATGAATGCTTTCTCGATATCTGTGAACTCAGCTGCTCGATTGTTTGCGCGATCTATCTTGGTGCAACCAGCATCGAGTAGCATCGCCGCTACAATGACAGCATCCGTGGCACAAGACATTGTATCCCATACAGGACCACGGCCCCGAACCGGAAATGAAGTGCCATTTGGATCCCAATCGAAAGTCAATGGCGACAATTTTACTTTTGCCGTGGTGGGGAAGGCTCCCAGCTTCATCGTGAGCAGATCCTCGTAAGACTGAGCGGTTCGGTAGCGAACAGGCTTGTCGACAGACGGAATGCTGGGATCACGATCCAAGTCAGCATACACAATCTGCATCACAGCTCGTTCCACGGCATCCGTAATTTTTCGCGTGTCAAGGGGAACTGCAGGTTTGGGGACAATGGGGCCCAGCTGGTTCCTTCCAATCGGGGCCACTTTATGAGTCGGTGCTAGACTAGGTGTCCAGGTGAAAGTTGTGATATCCTCGGCAGCAAAGACAGGATCTTGGAATGGCGGGGTGGGAGAACGAGGACGACCTCGGTAAGCAGGAGCACCGGGTGAAAGTTGTCTCAAGCGCTTGCGATGAGGGTCACTATTTTCTTCTCCACCCCGTTTTTGGCCTGTTGAAGGGCCCGGTATCTTCGTACCCGGCGGATCGGTTAATGAATAGGCCGGTCTAAATACGACGCCTGGGTTCATGTGCTCCAGCAGATTTACACGAAGAAATTCCTCTTGCTGCGCGTCGACTGTTGGCGCTGGAGGTGGGGGTGGTGTATACAAGCTGTCAACTGAGTACATATACTGTTGAAGAAGGTAGTCGGGCATGTCTGGTGGCGCATCATGAGGGCGTATATACGCATTCATGATACGCGTGGTCACATCCGGGGCAGTATTGTACCACCTACTGAGTGGCTTTGGGCGCGGATTGAGGTCATATTTCAAGAGTCGTGGCCCAGTATCTCGGTTAACATTGAGCATCTCTAACCAAGTCTTCGGGCGATGACGTTCTTGCATGTAGTAGATGAGCTTGAACAGAATCGCTTGTTGAACCTTGAGACTTTGCTTCTTTCTCGTTGTTTTTGGGGTAATTGTTGGTTCCTCATAATGGATTCCCCAGAAGTAATGCTTCATCAACACTTGCACCTGCGGGAGCTTCAAGGCACGACTATTACCGTGTGCAACATGTTTGAAACTGACATTAAAATGCATCCAGTCATCAGGTGGGTCAGGAAGACGAGTAAAATCATAAAGAGGCAAGGGCACCGGCGGATGCTCGAGGTCTTCCGGCTTCGCTGGGAAATCGGACAGGGGAGGAAGCTCGAGCGGAGAGTGATTATCACCCATCTTGATAAACTAGAAAGGGCTCAAGGTCTGCAAATCTGTCACGATGGGCTCAATCAAAAGCAATATCCTGATATTGGGGTGTCCTATATGGGTCTGAGGAGCTTGGGAACTATCAACGCGAGACCGAAACGGTGCGAACCAAGTGCTTTAATGGACAACTAGGAACATCCATTGTCCAACATGCCAGCTTTAATGCCATCTTTACCAGCCGAAAGAAATAGAGTGGCATATTGTAGATAGTAAGCATGAGATGAAAGAACACCCCGAGCGCCCCGAATCGAGTATCCATGGTAACATCCTGTTTCTTGACGGACAAAGCATTTAGATTCCAGACAAGGTTCAGAGCCAGGGCAGCATGACCGAGGGGAATTCTATATTTGTCACATTAGATCAAATCCAGACGATATCAAAGAACCGAGTAAAAATAGACAGGCACTTTTGATATCAACAACTGTGGGTTTCTGGAACTCCTTTCACAAAACAAAGAACATGAATTCCACCGAATATCTCTCAATCAAGTTGAAGGTCACATATAACGAGGTTTCAAACCCAATCTGGCTTGGTCGTGAGTAAGGGAATGGCCATCAAAGTGCGGAAGCGATTAGTACCCAGGCAGAAATCCGTAGGGTGCCCTCAAAAGCAATGGAAACTGCCAATTTTGGCATCGTCTGGCCTGAAGAATCTTATGAGCCAAAGATTGTATGGATCTGCGGGTCCCAATAGACTTGGAGACGTGATCGGGTCACTTAATCTGGAAAAAGTAAACAAAGAAATACATGGGTCAATGAATTGACGTCGTCAAATCAAAAGTCACTGTATTGATCTCATAAAGATTACTCGAAGCACAAAGAGACATTTTGACAGTGGCTCATGGCGTTAAGAATTGGGCTTGTCGCAGTTTCGTGTCGAGGAACATTGAAACAAAGACGCCTGTCAGGGCTACGGGTAAGATATGCGTAAATAACAAAGTATATTACATGAATATAACAGAAAGATTACAGTCATGTGATTTCACATGATCTGCTTTATGGGCTAGCCTTTTTGGGGCTAGCCCCTGACAAGCGAGCCCTCGTCCGAATAAGGTTAGCGCCCCAATTACCCGATCCCACAAGCAAAGTCACTCAGTTGGACTTCCTCTCTCCATCCCTCTGTCGACAACCCATCGCGATCCTCGCCCATCGCCCATCATGTGTACGTGACGACCCCTCCTTTCAATCAGAGACCATTCTATGATACACAACCACGAATTTGCCAAAAAGAAAAAGAGCAGGAAACGGTGGCAGAGACGACGGTTCTCGAAATTGAATGTTGGCTAACATGTGGATTTCTCGATAACAGCGCTCGTGACCGGCGAGAAGACGAACTTCCAGTTCATCTTGCGTCTGCTCAACACCAATGTTGACGGCAAGCAGAAGATCATGTACGCGCTGACCCAGATCAAGGGTGTCGGTCGCCGTTACTCCAACCTGGTCTGCAAGAAGGCCGATGTCGACCTCACCAAGCGGTACGTTCGCCACAACCCCCATCGAATATCCAATCATTCCCATGCATCTGTTATCGGAGGACTTGAAAGAGGCAATGGCGCAGTCTGGACCTGAATCGACACATGGACTAGGAAGAGCCGGGGAATATCGCACAACAATCGCACAAATTTTTACACAGGACCAGCAAAGCTGACAAGACACTTTCTATAGTGCTGGTGAGCTCACCACCGAAGAGCTCGAGCGTATCGTGACCATCCTCCAGACCCCCACTCAGTACAAGATCCCCTCGTGGTTCCTCAACAGACAGCGCGACATCACCGATGGCAAGGACACCCAGGTTGTCTCCAACGGTCTTGACTCCAAGCTCCGTGAGGATCTTGAGCGCCTCAAGAAGATCCGCTCCCACCGTGGTCTGCGTCACTACTGGGGCCTCCGCGTCCGTGGTCAACACACCAAGACCACTGGCCGCCGCGGTCGCACCGTCGGTGTCAGCAAGAAGAAGGGCTAAATTATTCTGTTCGTTTTTTTTGCCGGGGGTTCTTGGAGGGATTCCGTTATTTCCGGTGTGTTTCTATGGGCAGCACTCGTGGGATCTTTTCCCCGCTGGGCTGGACATGATCCAGTTCAAAAAATTGAAAATGAACCATACCAATGAAATGACCCAATCTCTTTGATACATGTACTTTGCTTTTGGCCTTGGTTGGTGGGATCATCCGTTGTGGAACAAGATGCCAACTCGATGATCCTGTCTGTATCGCCGGCCATCGTAGGGTAGAATATCTTGCAAGGCTCCGTGCTATGCTTCGGAGAATACCTCGCAGTGGGGTAGATGTCCTAGATCGCCAGGAATAAGGCCTACGCCACTTGATCCATATCTCCGGGGTACCCATATCGCCCTATCTCTTGACTATCTACGCCTATCGCCAAACACCCACACTCACCGATGGATATCTACATACACTACACCCAATGTGCATACCTTAACCCTACACTATATAGTATATGTACCTTTATGCTTTATGATTGTCTATTGCTCCAACATTCATGTCTATCCAAAATTGATTGAATTCAAAATTGCCTAGTATATAATAAACAAAAACCAAAATCACCTAACATCAGCTGGAAAACAGATGACCGAGTATACTGCCTTACTTAGTCTCCCAGAGTATTAGGTGCCAAATTGTACGTAAACACCAGTCGCAAGAGCAATAACACGCAGTGTAATGATGAATTCATCAACTCATCGTATCATAGTGGAAGCCTGGTCGAGTGTTTAGAACCACTCGCCACCGAGCCAGCGGTTGAAGAACTCCAGGCTAGACTCGGGCTGGTCCATGGGAACCATGTGGCCACCGCCATAGATACGCATGAAGGTGAAGTTGCCGTGGGACTTGATCTGACCGATCTTCTTGCCAACGTGCTCGTTCTGCACAATCTTGAGGTCCTCGAGCTCGGCGGAAGCGAACTCCTTCTGGCCAGGCCACTCAAGAGCCTCAGACCAGGCCTTGTTGCCAAGCCAGTTGCAGATGAAGTCAGCATCACCGGCGTAGATGAGAATGGGAATCTGCTCAAGGAGACCGGGCACGAGACGGTGGTAAGGCTTGAACCAATCGCCAGTGAAGAGGAAGTTACGGTTGATGTCGAAGTTGCATGAGTCGTAGCCATCAACCTCAGCACCGACAGCCTCGCGCACGCTCTCCTGACTGAGGTACTCGCTGACGTAGCCCATGCCCTTGTAGCACAGGTTGCTCTCGTCCTCGCACTTGCCGCGAACATCGTAAACGTTCTGACCGGTGCGCTGGTAGGGGGCAAGCATGGCGTTGTTGCAGTAGATCGAGGCCGGGACGCAAACCCAGGGGCTCTCGCTGTCGTAGCAAGACTGAATCATGCTTTGGCAGCGGCCCAGGGAGTTGTCCATGGACTTGCAGGTGCTCTCATCCAAAACGGCCGGGTAGCCACCCTCACCGCAGGCCATGGGGCGGTAGTACTCGTACTGAGTAAGACCGTCGGTGAGACCGTTACCAATGAGAACAGACTTAAGGTTGATGTTGCGCTTCTTGTGGGAGAGAATCTCCGAAGCCATGACAGGGATGTAGTGGCCAGCGTAGGACTCGCCGGAAATGTGGAAGTCCTGTTTAGCGTACTCGGGGAATTGCTTGAAGAACAATGTGAGGAGAGCATAGACATCCTTGCCTGCAGCAACAGTGTCGCTCACGGAGGACCCACTGTAGGAGTAGCCGACGTTGACGGGCTGGTCCAGGAAGATCACAGAGGCATTGTTGTTCCATGAGAAGTCATTGTAAATAGGCTTGATGTTAGCACCAATGGAGCTGGGTCCGAGTTCCAAGAAAAGGCCGGTGAGGGACGAGCAGCCGGGACCGCCGTTCAGCCACAGGACAACGGGATCGTTCTTGGGGTCATTGCGGGACTCAAAGAACCCTTCTGGAGGTTAGATAAATCTTAGATAATGAACGATGTTTTCCAAACTCACAATAAAACAGATGCTTGTCGTTCTCGTTGTCATCCAGGTAACCACTGTACTGCTTCACACCGGGATCGATGCCGAGAGCGCTGGGGTCTACCTTCTTGGCGCGGAGATTGTAGGCCTCCAGTCTGCCGTCGACCTCACGCTCCTTGGTACCCTCAGCACCAGTGACCCAGATGCTTTGAACATCGGCACCGCTGACATGATAATCCCAGTGCGAGTCGGGGCGGCGGGTGTGCTTCTTGGGCAGGGAAAGCATGGGAGCGCTATCCATGGATTCCGGGAAGTAGTTCGAGACTTCCTCCCACAGCTGACGAGCCTCACTAGAGAGAGACTTGAACTGGTCCTGGAGGTGCTGCAGGGGCTTGAATGCATCCGCACCCTGCTTAACTACGTTCTCCGCATTCTCCCTGTGAGCTCCGAGGACCTGCTGGAAGGACGGGGCAACTGCCGAGGCAGCTCCCGCAAAGAGAGTGGCAGACAGAACTCTCATTGCAAATTGTGTTCGAGTTTCACAGCAACACTGATGCTAATGATGAGTTGTTGATGAGGAGCGGGTACCTTGGGGTCTGGAGCAAGGCACCTCTTATCAGTAACCGTTTGCGGAAATGGCTCAAACATAAACCAAAGGAAGATAGTCACTTACACTCTAAAGATACCAAAAGATAATGATAATTGAAATAAATTTCAGGGTTTGAAGAAGTAAGAGACGATGATGGTCCCTTGTGAGATGAGGAGAAGCAGGTCCGAAGGGCCGATGACGCTGGGGGATGGTGATAAGACGAGACTGGGCCAATCAGGTGACTCCGAGGCCTAAGAGGGGGCCCGAGCGGGCCCATGACCGGATGATTCAGCATGAGTCACGGGACTTGTAAGGTTACCTTGGCTGGAGGGGCACAAGCTTGTCGACTAAGCCTTTTTGGGTATATTTCCTGACGCAAATCAACTTTTGATACTTTGTACTCAGTCTACATATATCCTTCGATCTGGACAGTGTCATCCATTTGGAAATATTCAAAAATATATGAATAGCACCACAATCTCTGGTGTTTCTTTTTCTTACATATTGACGCAATAATTAGCCCTTAGCGGCTTCACACACCCAAAATGCCTATCAATCAACCCTCCAACCAGATCAAGTTCACCAACGTGTCGGTAGTCCGACTAAAGAAGGGTACATATCTATTTCATCTATGCTGCCTTGACTTTTATTAACTTTTGATCTCAATACAGGCAAGAAGCGCTTTGAACTCGCCTGTTACAAGAACAAACTTCTCGAATACCGATCCGGCGCTGAAAAAGATCTCGACAATGTCCTCCAAGTTCCAACCGTGTTCCTCTCCGTCTCCAAAGCACAAACCGCCCCATCAGCAGAGCTAGCAAAGGCCTTCGGAACTGGTACCCCTCGAGAGGAAATCCTCCAAGAGATCCTCCGTAAAGGCGAAGTGCAGGTCGGCGAGCGTGAGCGCAAAGACATCCTCGAGCGAGTAGAGAAGGAAGTACTGGACATCGTGTCAGGTCGACTAGTTGACCCCTCAACCAAGCGCGTGTACACAACCGGAATGATCCACAAGGCGTTGGATCAATTAACCTCGGCCAGCGGACAACAACAGACACAAGCAAGTGGGGAGACCAATGGAGATGGCGAAGAGAAACCCTCTCAGCCAAAGAAGCCGCTCTGGACGGGAGTTTCTGCGACACGCTCGGCGAAGAGTCAAGCGTTGGATGCCATGAAGGCTCTCATCGCCTGGCAGCCGATCCCCGTCATGCGGGCTCGTATGCGTCTTCGCGTGACATGTCCAGTGTCCCTATTGAAGCAGTCTGTCAAGTCTGCCCCAAGCGCTGCGTCGAATAAGGAGAAGGAAGCCCCCTCCGGTGGCTCAAAGAACAACAAGAAGGGAAAGGGATCCAAGAAGTCTAAGAAGGATGATTCAGACATTGAGGCTGGTCAGTCTGATGTGGAAGCTACTCCGAAGGCCCCGAGCACCGTCAAGGATAAAATCTTAGCCTTTATCGAATCGATTGAATCGCAAGAAGTTGTTGGCGGAGATGAATGGGAGATTGTTGGTTTTGCTGAGCCGGGTGCATTCAAGGGATTGACTGAACTGGTTAGCAATGAGACCCGCGGAAGAGGCCGGGTTGAGGTTCTGGACATGTCGGTCACGCATGAGGATTGAATTATGACGTTTGATTTATTTACGAGGCTTTGCTGTACATGATGTACCGATATGACTGATGACAAAAAGTACAAAAAGAACCTTGGAATATACTGATTTGCCATACCATTTCATTCTGTCTTAGACGTATGCGCTACAATGGAGGTGAAGAAAGTCTAATCTCATGGGGGAAGCAAAGACAAATGGCAAGTCAAACAATGAAGACATCATGCAGGGAAAGAAAACATATATGGAATCAGGCACAGCTCGTAAAAAAAAAAAACCACTCAAGGGGAGCTTCTTTGCCGAAGAAAAGCAAGGATCCCAAGTATAATAGCCTTGGGGCATGTCATTGAAGCTAAAAGTATGATACAGTAAGACGTCTATGACATAGACAAATGAAAACAATGAACCCAACGCCGTAAATGAGAGGGATCTGGGGTACTCCCAACAGAAGAGGAAAGCAAATATCATGACTCGTATTGTGTGCCTGGAGCAACTCAGATATCCATCCCACATACGTCAATTTTATCACATCCAGTCACCATCAAAACCACATTCTTACCTGGACCAAGTTCTCTAGCGAGATCGAGTGTCTTGGCTACCGCGTGACTCGAGTCAAGACCAGGCAAGATCCCCTCGTGGTGATGAAGGGTTCTAAATCCATCCAGGGCAACTGTGTCGGTAGCCGTGGAAATTTCAATTCGGCCAGAGTCCTTCCAATGAGCGACCTCAGGCCCCACAGTAGACAAGTTCATGTCTGGCGAAATTGAATGCGAGTCGAGGATCTGGCCATCATCATTTTGAAGCAGCAAAGTACGAGCACCCTGCAGTACCCCAAGCCCACCATCCGTCAGAGCAGCTGCC